ATGAACGTCGACGCAATCGGAACTGAATTCGAGGGGGCATTTAACGGACGTTATCTGCTTGGAAGAAGATTGGCGAAATCAAGACTTTACTGCTTGCAGCATCGCTTTTCTACGCCGGCTTTAGACACAGTGCGAACTCCGTAATCCGAACTTAATGCAACATGTTCGGATTATCGAGAGACTTTCGGATCTTTGGGTCCCGAGTAATCGACCAAGCGTGTAAGAAATTAAGACTGATCGTCAAGAAAAGTAAATAATAAAACAACAATTAAAGATATTAAATAAGATATTAAGTTCGCGCGAGGACTACAGAAGTGTTTGCTAATCTTCGTTGTTACTCAATCTCATTACTTCAGAAAGTTATTTCATTATATATAGATCGAGTGATTCCGTGTAACTTCGTCGTTCCGACGTTTCTTAAAAATTTACATGGCGACAGAACGAGAAATTCTTCAAAGTTCGTATCGCACTTCTCTATCGTGCTTCTGTCAAGCACGCAGATGTCGCGCAATAAATCCAGCCCCAAATGTCTCCTAGATGTTCCTTCGATTCTCGTTCCGTTTGCCGTCCGAACGGAAACACTTTTGACATCGGAGTTCTCACTTCCCCCGGAGTTGTCGCCTCCGGAATCCGCTGTTTTACGATGGGCTCCGAAATAAAACGGGAGAGCGAAATCGCTTGCCGCGAGCGATGCGACGGGCGCGTGCCACGGCACGTTAATCGTACTTTGGCGAGAGACCCGTGGGACGCGCGGCTCGCGCGGACAGCGGTTCGTTCGTGTGCGCGGTCGCCGCGCCGGTTTGAAATATATACCACCGGAGGTATCCTGGGACCGCAAGTGTCCTGGGATTCCCTCTCTGATTCGGTCGAGTCACGGTGCGGGAATCGCGCCCGAGGTCGATCGACAAATAACACGCTGGTATCCTGGCAAACTGGTACAAAGACGGATACGACGCGGGTTCAGGCACGGAGTTGGGCTCTCCCGTCGTCAGGGCTACGGAGAACGTAGCCTAAAGGTACTCCAGGTACGATCGATACGTTCTATTGTCATTGCACTCCGGCGAACGTTATCGAACGCGAGCAAATATTGAGGAATTGTCGAGGAACGCCGTGTATTAGCAAGACGACGGGAGTTAAAGTATTTTTCATGTCGACGATAAGTGGACGATAGCTGGCCGATGATGTATCGGTTTATTGATCGGCTTAACGGATTTCGCCGGACGATCTGTCGTCTCGAGCGCGAGACCAGGAGATACATCCGGCGATCGCGGAAATTCGCGATGAATTTTATTCCCGACTATTTTACTGCGATTCGCGACTCGTGAGAGATCTCCCGCTCCTCGAGTGGGAATACAAGCGAGTGAGATCCCGAGACCGGGTCCGGGATCTTGGAAAACGATCTCGTTGAATCGGAAACTCTTGCCGCTCGGTGTCAAGATCGGGCGCCAAGTTTGACAAGTTTTGTTCCACGATTTCATCCACCGATCCGGAGATCACATAGTTCGTTTCGCACGTACAAACCGCACGTTGGGAATGTAAGCGGTTGACGACTTCGAACGGTAAAGTTTAAATCCTTTCGCCAAAGGCATTTTCTCTTTCAATATTTTCTCTTCCTCGAGATACTTCTCAGCGGGACGTTAAACGCGGCTTTAGCGGTCGAACTGCTTATTTTCTCGACAGAAACGACAAAAATAATCTACGGACATCCAGTTCTCGAAATTGACTAATCAATGTCTCACCGTAATTCCGCTTTAAGATCGTTTTATTATTAGCGCGTCTAATAGACGTATGGTCCGGCTATTTTTATCTTTTACAGACAGCTCGATAGAGGAAGGGTTAATTTAAATAGAATCTCTGACATTACTGTTACGTCAATTGTGTCGATTGATTATTCTATACTTTGCGCAATGACCTTTATTTGTTATCTTTGTAACCGATATAAACGCGCGTATATTTTATCTATGTTTTTTTATTGCATCCTTATAATTTTATACGTATATGCAGACAGGCTATAAAAAGTTAATTGTAACTTGAGGCTAATAAATAAATAGGCGCGCATTCTCCTTTTTTTAGTGTTCTCTCTCTCGTATAATAGCAGCTTAACGTTCGAAAGGCAATATCAGTTTTATCACTTCGGGCCTTGATGATATTTTTAATAACTCAAGCAAATAAATAATTGACTGCCGCAGCACGCTTGCAATTTGCATAGCACCCGTTTTTCCCTGTTTGTACACAGCTTCTTCGCGTACGTGCGCATTATCCCTTCAAAAACCAGGAAGAGGAAGCTCGGATCTGTTCGGGCGCGCGCCGATCGATACGTAAAACTCTTTACTTTAATCACTTTAAGGTCGGGAAAATGTCACGTCAAGGGGAAAGACCTTTCACTTTTATCTTATACCTATACGGTATATATATATATGCACACCACGCTCGTGCTCAGCTCGCGATACAGTTTGCCGTTTAACCTTTAATCGAATAATGTGAAAATTAAGCGGTACTTAACACTCCACTGGTTAAGAAAATAAGTCGCAATAACAAGGTTAACTCCTCGCTTTGCTCGTAGGGCAGACTTACAGGCTCGTGGGCTACTTGAAGCCGCGCGAGAATTCAATAAAACAAGATCCACTTCTTCCATTCTCGGTTCCGGCGCGCCCATTAATGTTACTTTAACCATTACACAAAATAAAATGTAATTGTAAGCGAGGGAATAAATAGCATAATATAGAACGATACAGGCAAAACGAATAATATAGCATAATAAAAGCGATATAAGCAAGATGAAAAAACTCTGAGACTAATTCTGCGAAATGTATCAACACGATATATGCGGAGAAAACTATTTCAATTATTCTGACGTAAATGATGTATATAGGTAAAACTTAATTATTTATGTAGTATTACGATGATAAAAAATTGTTTCCAATACATTTCACACCGCTGATATTAGGCGACAGAAGTAGGTCTTCTCATTGTTCTCGCATATCTTGAAACGCCCCACCGTCCGGTACAATTGTAAAGTAGATGCATGTATAACAGGTTCAGCTACGCGAGATAACGCGAGTTTTTGAAAGATAAAACATCGCGGCTGGAATTATAGCGCTATATAGCAAATAAGATCTCCCTTGCGTAATCTCCAAAGTGAATTTATGCACTCGCATAAATATTAATGCAATATTTAGCGTTACGCGCAAGCGTAGGCAATGTCATTGTTGCGGCGCCCTTTGTAAAGTTGAACGTAGAATCGGTCGGAACAAAAGGGGAAGTCGAGAATGAAGACTAAAATGCCTGACGATTCGCATCCGAAATAATTTAACAATTCCGGCTACGTTATGCCAGGAAAATACATGGTTTTTCTGCAATAAACAACAAATCCGAGTTACCAAGTTTGCTAAAAACTGACAAAATGTATCTTTTTAGATCGGGGGATTTATCCGCAAAACTTTAAATTTTGTATCGGCAATCAAACCGTATTATCGGGATAATCTTTTGCGGTCGGTAGTTTCGTAACGCGTCGATTGCACTGCGATTGGCGATTGGCGAATTGTGGGTTTTTAAAAGACAGATTTTTTCGCGACAAATATAAATTCACGGAAGCTTTGACGTCAGCGTATAGTGGTAAATACCAATATAACAAAAAGCGATAACAGGATTTTCTTCCGGTGTAAATCGAAAAATATGTTTTCGAGTAACACGAAAATTATGAATAAATGGAATTAAATTTCCTGTACTGTCGTGTTCAATATAAAGACGAAATATATAAATATAAATTATAATATATTGTTTCGGAGACACAAATCATATCAGTTCAATTAGATAAATATCCATTGTTTGCGACAAATTGCTCTTTTAACAAAATGTCTCTGCGTTTTATTTCATTGCATAATAGTTTCCGTAATTGGTAGCAGCGCAAACAGCGCCTTCAAAAGATGCAAGGATGCATAATTTGCGGACCGTTTAACGCTAAATGGTTTAACCAAAGAATAAAATATCAAAAGTACAAAGAGCTAATGGAATTATTTATTTTCTAATTAATCACGCGTAGTCTTCGTCTTGGCGAAAGTTTCGTCTGAAATCCAATTTGCGATGTTGAAGGCGGAAGACAAATGCCTCGAATTAACTTTCAGCTCAGGAAACACGTCGACTTGAAATTGTTCGACAAATGTAATGTTGTAACCAATTTGCTATTATTTATTTTCTCTGACACCACTTGTAGAAAAACGCGAATTACGCGAGGAAAACGCGAAAAACTTTTGTAAGAACGTGAAGTCACGTCGTAATTTGTTACTTCAACCTGCCGTAAAACGCGCTGTCGCTATCCTATAAGAAATAGAACTTTAATATACACGGTTAAGGTTCGGAAACTGCGGGAGGGCAATATGCATCCAGCAGAAAACACACCCGGTGCACCTTGCGATACACCGGTATACGCGTATGTAAAGCAACCTGGTGAGAAGGTGGAATATTAATGAATGCGCCAGAGCAGAATCGTTGCAGGTACCAGAACGCGTTTCGTTCTGCGGAGGTCCGCGGAAATGGAACTGAATCTGCAAATCTGAATCTCTAATCCGACAAATAACAAGGGGGTTTGATTTTTTTACGATCGTTCGAAAAAATTATTCGCGGAGAAATTCGCTCCCGCTCGCCACATCGAGAATCTACACGCGATGATTCGCCCTGGGGGATTAAAATTGTTTAAAAGAAAAATATCATCATGACATATTAGCTAATATTATCAATTATATAACCCTATGCTAACGAGATTATATTGAAAATCGATATATTGAAGGCGAGAGCTTGACACTTTCCGGAACGATATTTACTACGACAATATTTTGATATTTCACGATTAAAATAGCTGACATTTTTCTTAACGAGTCGTCTATCGCACGACGGAGGATTATTTAGCGATTTTCTAGGGCACCGCAATAATCGAACGATTTTTGTAAAGAACAGTCGTACACACACAGAAACAGAGCGATCGATGTAAAAACTTGACGTACCTATGTCCATCAAATGGACCTCACCAAGATGTCTGGCGGCGTAAAGATGTAGTAATCCGAAGGCAAGCTGCATCCCGGTAGTGAGCAACATGGCGAGAAAACCGGCGGCGCAGACCAGCCAGCCCCATCCACCCTCTGGATAGAAATGCGTCCGCATACCGGTAACGTCTATCCCTGATAGAAAAGATTATCCTCTTTATAATTCAGAGATAAATCGCGGAATCGCGTCTGGAAACCGTCGATAATGGAATTCTCGCGGCAAGAACGGATTTACTATCTTGCAATCTCGATAGGAGATTTCTGACGTATGAATGAAAAACTTGTAAAGTAACTTAGTGTTTCATGACTTATAATATAAATCTTGAGCTAAAACAAACATATTTATATATCATTTTTCAATCTATTATTTTATTGATTTCCTCATTTATTTAACATCTACTATCTACATCTATTATCACTAATATATTTACATCATACTTATTTATGTGTTTAAGAATCACATTAATCAAACAATTTATTTTAATATTATGCATTAAAAATGCAGACACGGAGAGAAAAAGAATAAGGAATAACGTTGCAGATGATATAATCATATTGGTTCGACTATTATCATATGCATTAAATATTCAAATGTGTTGCAGAAGAATACGGAGGAGAGATATTATATACCTGTACGACGAAATGCGGGTACGCAACGATGCAGGCTGCGCAGATCGCCTAAGACCCAGTTCGTATTGCCACCTATAGTGTCATCGGCGTCCACGTAACGCAAACGAGTATCTGAAAGAAAACGTGAATTAATCGTGAAACACGGCCATTCGTGCAACTGTTGAAATATCTCCGCGATTTCTGCTTGGAATGAAATAAAAACGTGCAGGAATAAGCAAAAGCGTTTCTTAAATAGAACTTGTCGAAGGACCGTGGTCCGTATTGAAAGGTACCGCCGTTGCGCCATCGGGAAATTGGTTCGGTGTTAAATTGAAACGCTGCAATAATATACTACGTGAAGGTATCGAATGTCTTCCCGCACAATGAGAGATGGCTGTTCGGTGACCGCGACGACGCGACGGTACCTGCGGCTGGCAACGCCGGCGTTTGCATGAGACAGAGGGTGCGAGATGGGTAAGAAACCAGTTGAAAGAAACGTGTGAGAGAAGGTAGGTAGATAGGAAGGAAGGAAATAAAAAGCGAGGGCCAGGTAAATGCACTTTTAAAAGGGATGACGAAGGCGGTAGGTTGAAAAAGGTAACGTTAGGCACGAAGTCAAACGGCGGATTCACGAGGAAAAGGAGGAAGAAGGGTTGATGATCGTGAAATAGCGCAGCGGCCCTATTATACGCCTCGTAAAAAATCATGAATTCAGATTCAGCCTCCGGTCGCAGCACTACCGCGGGAAAAGGTATCTAACTGAATTATAAGTAACGCGTATACAGTTGTGCTGTGTATGACTCTCGCACCGAATACAAACTTTTCCATTAGCGGCGTTAAATGTTAAACACCTTTGGGTTTTGCGACGCTACGCGTTCTCGTCCTGGCGAAAATCGAATTCGAGCGTACTGTCGTTATTTAAATTTGCAGATCTAGCGGGGCCGTTTTCATCGAGTATTTTGATTAATTGATTTTCTAGTACGTTTCGGGCTGGATATGAAAGATTGATAATATTTCCCCACTTATCTTTCCACTTGTCATCGGCCAGAATTCACAAACAAATTAAAAATTAATTCTCGCTCTTTTTCGTCGAAAATTTTTTCTCAGCGATTGAGAAAATGTCTCTTTGGTAATTATTCGCACGCGCGTTACTCGATTTTACACTTCGTTTTATACACGCGATCAAAACTGCAGAGTTTGCGAATGTCTAAGTAATTTCTAATTTATTCGCGAGCGGTCCTCGTATTATATAACAGTTTGACATTAGTTGTAAATTATCGTGCCACCGTGTCAGCACGAGTAAAACTGCGTTCACCGTTGCAATTCAATTCCAGGAACTAACATGTCCGTAAGTGGGTAAGTTTCTACGCGAGCGCTTATTATAACTATTATAACGTTTAGCGTGTAAAACCATTTGGAAGAGATTATTTGCACGGGTGGCGTTAACGTTGTCGTTGTCGTTGCCAATAACGAGAGACGTCGCCGATCCGCGACGTCTCTCGTTAGGTAGGTAAATTAACAGCAAGAATGAAATATTCTTCATTATTCGGTGCGTAATGAAAATAAGGTATGAAAGGAGCGTGTAATGAGGAACGCGGCAGAAAGGACAGAAGAAAAAAAAAGGAACGAGCGACAGTAGGTATTTTGCCGAAAATGACGCGAGACATAGAAATTGTCGAGGATGGCACCGAGGGCAAAAATTGTCGTGGAACGAGTTACGAGTTACGAGGGTGCTCTCTCTCTTGATGCCGGAAAAAGAGCGGCACGTTCGCAAGAAATTCGCATTTCTTGCGAACGTGCCGCATCCTTAGTGAAATCACGGTCGCATTTTCGCTGAACGATCTAAACGAAATATCTAAAATGCCGCTTCAAGGAGCATGAAGAATGGTGCAATGATCGCAGCAAATAAACACGTAAGAGACTTCGATGTATAAAAAAGAATGTTTTATACCTGCTTCGAACGTAAGTAACTTCAGCTTCGTGAGTATTTCTATTTCCGATCAAACTTTGCAAAATTTTCGCAAAATCTTTACTTTGCTATCGAATTCACGTGATAAGGAAAAACGATTAATAAATTTTTTTTCATTACGTCGTGTGTTGTTGCAGTTTCGAAGAAACTCGAGCATCGCGTATCGATAGTTTCTGTATTTTTAATAATTTGGACTAATCAAGAAATCAGATAAAGAAATACCGAATTTCTTTTTCCTGTTTATTATGATAAATGTAGTATTATCGGTTCTCTCATATAAAAGAAGTAAGGCAAAAATTTCACAATTCCGATTGCTACTCGGATTCACCTTTGTCAGTTGAGATTGAAAACCAACGGTTGACCTACATTTCTGATAGACACTGTTTTCGACGATACATCAAGCACAAAATTTCAAGATACCTCTTCGACAGAGTTAAGTGGAATTGATTCTTATTTTACCGTATCCCGCTGTAAGCTTTTCATTTCATTTTGCCCTACTTCTTTTGTTCTCTGCCTTCATATAAAGACAAAAGAGATAATGTTCGAGGGACAACCAAAATTAAAAATCAATGCCTTAAAATTATCAATGCCCCTTTCACGATATATTTTAAATCCCACAATACATATACGTAGAAACTCAGATTAGCTAAAAATTGTACAACAATCTTGATGCTTTCTAAGCAAGTTATTTCGAAAACATTTTCTAAAAATTTCTAGTAAAAAAGGATGTTACAGGAGAATCGAATATAATTATCTCTGCAATCGACTTGCAATATAAATTTCTGCAAGGAATTATAGACATACGGCGCACGAATCGTGACATTATTATAAATTCCGGTTGAACGTGCCACGTAACTTTAGATTAACTCGAATTAATTGAGTTCATTTAATTAAAGTAAATTCAATTAAACGTCTGAATGTTAGCATAACTTTAATATTGCTTCATATAAACGGAATGAAGCCCGTGTGCGTCGAATTAAAATTTAGTAATGATAATATTCAATATTAAGATTACGGAACGATGGGCGGTAAATGTCGAACTATCCTGCGTAACAATATCAGGGATACACGATCGACATTAACTTGGAATATATTTGTACTGTAACTGAAAAGTAAACTCACCGCCGTGATACGAACTTCCACGGTGCGGCGTATACATGCCATTTTGACCCTCTATACAATGAGTTGGCGTATAGTACTGCATAGGATGTTGCATATAATTATTGGGGGTACTGGGGACATGTACCGGATGACAATGTATGCATCTTCGCGGTGTCTCGGGCGGAGCCTGCAAGCAAGATGAATTTTCAACGCGCTTGAGTGGGGAAAACGGAGAGCGCAATGTAGAGCGCTTCGTGTAGACAATCGCCCATGTGTTTATTATTATTACCACGAAATATATCGTTCTGCTCTGACATTGCTACGTAATATTGCGCAAGATTATTTGTCAAGATATTAATAACAATCCACACGATTAAATTATGTATAAATGTACGTGTAAATATCATAAGCTAGATTTATAGCGTCATATCAGGAGAAGATAGTATCAAGTTTAAAAACAATTTATTACCTTCGTACACAAAAAATAAGTCTTATCTTCCAACGGGTGGAAATAACTGCGATATTGATACGTGTTTTTTTAAAACTGAATATTGAAAATCTCGAAATATTGTTCACGTAAATATGAGTTGTAGCACTTGTAGCAAACGTTTTTTAAAATGTTGATTAAAGTTATGTTTCTTTTCAATTCTGTATCTTTTTTCCAGAAAAGAATAAAAGATTATTCGAATATTTGGTTCATTAATCTGTGAAAATCGATAAACGAGCATAAGATTTGCAAAATTATCAGGACCCAAATCGATCGCACGACGTAATCGCGTGCAATAAACGGACGGCTTCATTCGCTCACCTGCATGGAGTGTTGCGAGCGCAACGATCTTATCGAACCGGTCGGGTGCAAGGACGGCACGCTGCCGCCGAAGCTCATGGCTGAATTTCTGCATCCTCCCGGGGTGGACCAACCGCCGCGCACGCTAGCCGTAGTCCACCCCATCCCGCTTCCGCAGTCATCCACCAGCATCTTCAAAGCGGGCGGTACAACGCCGCGTTTTATGCTCCCGACATCGCCGGCATGTCAACGATCAACGTCAATTCGACGCTCGATGTCCCGTGTACTCGTGTCACGTGTTATCCCCGTCGTAATACGGCGGAAAAAACTAAATTACATCTTTCTTGCCCGCTGTCAAATTCCCTGGAGCACGACTTCCGGGTTGGACGACGTTAGACGGGTCCCGCTGAGCACGAGGGTGAGGTCGTACGAAGGCAGTTGTTCGACGATGCGTTCGACATGCGGAGGGTATTTTCCATTTTCGGTCTGCAAGCAACGTGGAACGCGCTCTGATTTGCTGTACCAGGTTATCGATAATTATATTACACGCAACGCATACGTTGCGCGTAGATTGTTCGAATTTATCTCCCATTCTAATCGGATGCGCGTCATTTGCAGCGTACTAAATATAATTTATCATTTGAACGGTATATCTGATGCCAGACATGTCAATGTAACGCGTTATATACAGCGGGGGGAAGGGGGGGAGTAACAATCTTCACACTTTTTAACGAATTAAAAATTTTACCGCCCGACTTGGGTCCATGTAACATGCAAATATGTGTATCTCCGCGTTGCTTTAGTTATGCTGCGCTGAAAATCCTTAATTAACTTTAAGGATTTTACTTAACCTAATTAACGCGTTCACTTAATTAATTATATAATCATTTTCCGAGTGGAATTGTGATATATGCATTTCAATGCAGCCATTCACAGACATTCACTGTAATAATTTTTGTATTATATAACTAATGAGGATCATAAAACTGTCATTATAAATTTAATGATTACGTTATTGTGCGTTTCAGGAGTCAAAAAACAACCGATGCAGGTAAAGCATTAAATAACGAATATATATATGCATCGCGGGTAGGATTTGTTCGATTTGTACATGAGGATTTATAGCGTGAATGTTTTATGCATGTACTCATCCGAGGGAAGAGTCGATGAGGATAAAATTGTTATTGGATGCATATCGGACGTGCACGCGCAAGTTATTCTGCTTGAAGTTATTGGCATACACGCCAAAAACACATTCCATTTCGTCGATCAAATTCAATTAATTTCCAACCATCTCACGATATTAACTAATAATGCATCTTGCAATGCACCTTCAACAAAAAGACCTTTATCGATTCACGAAAATTATGCGACTCGGATTCGACATAATCGTCAATTAATGTTCACGATACTTTGCGAAAGTCTTATGTTAAGACGACAGTCAGGAATATGGTTGTAATTATAAATTCGAATTAAAGCTTAAAAATGCAACCATAAGATCCCATAAAACGGCCGACGTTGAAATGTTAAAATGATAAAGGTCCTCTGGAATTTGTATGCGCTCTATAAGACCTTGTTGCCGTACCGCAAAAGCATAACTCGCGAAAAAACTGTTTTCAGTCGGTTGAGAAGATTAAAATCATCCGTGTGTGTGCCGCCTCCAATCTCGTAACACCGCAGTAACCGTAGCCGCATTTCCACCGACCTAACTACATTGATATTCATGCGTTGTACCGCAGGTTGTGTTGTCTTTGTTTTTGAAACGTCTGTAGCACACACAGTCTGATAACAGTGGCACATGGTGTCCTCGCTAATTATAACGTTACCTACAATCTGGCACACGATCGTCGCCAAAAATAACAAATTTATGTTTGCACCTTGCAACAGAAGTCGATAAAAAAATTCATTTAGATTCATTATCTTATTTTTTCTGTCTAAAAAGGTGTAGCAATAATATTTCGAAAAGGAAATTTAATAGAAAGTCGATCGAACCGCTTCAGAGTTACTTTGATAGCAAATATTTATCGCAATAAATAGTCGCGTAGTATTTTTAATAAATATTTATGGTAGATATTTTTTCAACGTGTCTGTACATATCAATGCACCTTGTTGCACCTTGTAACAAAAGTCGCCGAAGTAACATATTTATATACTTCATTATTTTATTTTATCTGTTTAAAAGGGTATAGCAATAGTATTTCGAAAAGAAAACTTCTCAAATAAGAGATCGATCGAACTGCTTTAGAGTTACTTTGGTAGCATATATTTATCGCAATAAATAGTCGCGTAGTATTCTTAATAAATATTTATAGTAGATATTTTTTCAACGCGTCTGCATACATCGATATGAATGATGGACGAATAATGAATCGCATCGATATATTCCGCGGTAGACTATTCGTACCTACGTAGCATATCGGGTCATGACGTTGCAATTTTTATCTTGCAAGATTTATGTCCTCCGTCGCACGATACTGATCCCTCGACTTGTGCCCCATCGCGAGCTCGATATCATGACCGCGCGGCGTGTGTGCAGTGAAGTCTCGCAATAAGAATAACAACGTTGAAAACAGACCGCAGATTTGTATTCGCCACCGACGTCCGGCGTATATTTTCGCTCTCTCGTCGACGACAAGCATCGGAGCGCCCGGAGAAAAAGGAGGAAATTCCGTAACGGCCGCTGCCTTAAGAATGCCGCGGTCGTAAATCTTCTCGCAAAGCAGTATTTAATCGGCGTCGCTAAACGGATGAAACTCGAGGAAAACCTGACGCCGCGGCCGGCAACGCGTGTTAACTCCTTGCGTCGCTATAAAAAAAGAAAGAATTCGCGCGCCTAACCGACCTAACGCGACCGTGTTAAGTTGTAAACCTGCCGTATTTTTCAACGATGATCTCAAAACGTCGTCTAGTTCCTTGTAATCTAACGTAATTTCAATTACAATATATCTGTTATCTTTCAGATTAATTCAAAACTTTTTCTCGATTAAACTTATTTCATAGAACGTCGGAGAAATAAGAGAAAAATTAATTTCAACAAACTAATTTAATTTTTTGAATGAAAATGTTTAATCTTTGCCGAAAGAACTATGTGATCGCGTCCAGACTTGAAAACACAAATAAAATTCAGTTGACGAGACAATTCCGTATTGATTTTGGCTAAACAAATAAACTTCAAATAACTTCCAGAATAGAATTGTCAACGGTATAAGCCGTATTTCAAACTTCTAATATATTTTCAATAAAATAAATCGTTATCGCACATTTATTGTTATATCCTTATGGTAGATATATATATATATACATATATATTTCGTGGCCTGACATATTCCATTATCTCTCACATACGATTGAATTAAATTTATATAATATAAAAAAAATTGCACGTGTAATCCGTTAAACGTTAAATAAATATTGGTTCGTTCATTTATTCATTTAATTCCAGGATACGATTATTTTAAATGGATTTAAATATCGCCTAGCCTGATTTCACGTACCTCTGCACAGGGAAGGTTAATATCGTGCACAATCTTATGCAGAAAACAATAAATTTCAAAGTATAAACAAACACATTCATGCCATTCATTGTTGTATTCGCCGCGTAACGAACTGAATGTAGGACAAATGAAAAGCGTATTTCATTATAGTCGATGCATAACAATTGTCGAAATATGTATTCGGCGCAGGAACAATAACCGAGTTCTAATTATAACAAAATACATTTAAGACAATGGTAGGGCCCACCTTCGTAAATATGTTTTGGATCCTCGCGCGCGATGGCAAACTAATATCGAATAACATTATTAATTAGCGGCAAATGAACACGCGCAAAAGCGTATCGCGAAGCAGGTTTGTTTCCAGACAAATATTGCACTGCTGTGTAATTATCATTTATGCATGCAGCCACGATATTAACCAGATACGCACAATCGCTTTATTACATGACCTATGCTTACATCGCTTACCGCTTTTGTTAAGTTTCTTCATGCGTGTAATAATACAGCCACATGTAATACAAACAGTGTATGTTAATTGTACAAATCTTTGTCCCCTTTACCTTTTAAATATTGTTCAAAGATTATTAGCACAATTTCCCCGAAAAACTCGCGCATTTAGTTTAAATTGAAGTCCTTAACAATATATTAAATTATCCGGCAAACTTCTTTAATTTTTTGAATAAAAACAAAAGTAATTCAGGAAAAAAGCAACCTCCTACATAAAAGTATATATAATTGTAATAGAAATCATATAAAGTCGTGGCAATTCTTTTATTTGGAATTTAATATTGCTGTGTATTATATTAGTGAAAATATCCTTTCTTCTCTCCCTATATGTCTTTAGAATTACATTACGCAAATCTTTCATCAACGACTTGTCGTCTACCAACACGTCGGAAAACAAAAATAAAATGTATTAAGCAGTTAAAATGTCTCGAAAGCAGAATATTTCATATTGCGCCCCGGGGGGATTATTTCCCGGGGCGCGAAGGATTAAGACAGTCTGCGGTCGGGCGCGACGAAAGGATGCGTGTTGACACACGGGATACGGAATTCCGGCCTAGCAAGAGGCAAGAACCAGACCGATCGCGGGTGGTGGTCCGCGGCAGTACGTAGGAAGGCGACAACGGACGATGGAGGCCAAGTCACCGGGTAATCCTACTAGATTGAATCCACCCCCTCCCCCTCCCCGAGCACGAGCAATCTGCGCGACCACGGAGGATGGTTGTGTAAACGTGGCCACGAACCACCGTTCGGATCATCATCTCGCGCCCTCTCGTCTCCAACCCCTAATTTTCTATGAAAACATCCGCGCGCGAGTGGGTGGGCGTGGACGGGAACAAAAGGTATCGCCGTTACCGTCAAACCCCCTCGAGCCTTTATCCCGCAACCTGGAACGCGAAATATCGTCCGGGTTTACTCGGGTGACAGTTGAGACGGTGCCAGAAGCACGGTTGTTTCGCAAGCCGCGCTCTGCGGATCGTTTAGGGATGCGCGAGGACGTTTCTATATACTTTCTATTCATGATCAGAGGAAGATCCCTTCCATTTAGGTATCACTTGTTCCATAAACATTGGTTAAGATTAATTAAAGGTGATCCTCCGAATCTTTCCGAGGACACAATTAGGAGGGGACGGTGAATCTGTTGGACCTCAGTTAACTTTAATCAATGTCTTACGTAAGTTATTCGGCAATTCGTATTATGTGTATAATGTATTAACCATACTGTATCATTGTTAGCAAAAGAAAAAATATTTGAAAAAAGTAATGTGCAAGAGTAGAAATGTAATTAGATTCACGTTATAATTAGGACACTTTGGTTTGTCAAATAAACCGCGATTATGCATTCTATGTAAATATCCCATTTACAAAGCATTACATAAATTCAGCTATTAATTATAATAATTATGTTATACCAATTTAGCTATTAATTATTCCTGTTATTGTTAACTACTTATCATATTGTGTTTACGGCTTAATTAATGTAGCAAC